TCTATCGAGTAAAAGTTATATCGCGATACATATCGTTATCGTTCTATCGCCCAGCTCTAGCTGCATCTAACAATCTATGTTTATACTGATGCTCATTGGGGAAGCACAGAGACATTCAGTTTAGTTCAGTTTTATTTGTACAGCACCAAACAGTCACCTCACACCTCGCATATTGTAAAATAAAAACTCTACAATACTGCGGAGAAAACCCCAACAATTAAGCAACCCCTATGAACAAGCACCTAAGCGACAGTGGGAAGGAAAAGCTCCCTTTTAACAGGTAGAAACCTCCAGTAGAAACAGGTTCAGGCAGGGGTGGCCATGTGCAGCGACCGGTTTGACAGGACAAAGACATGCTGTGGAGGGGAGCCAGAGATTAATAATAACTAATGATTAATTTCAGAGAGGTTTATTAACACATAGTGAGTGAAGAAGAAACACTCAGTGCATAATGGGAATCCCCCAGCAGCCTACACCTACTGCATCATAACTAAGGGAGGATTCAGGGTCACTTGGTCCAACCCTCTCCGCGAGAGAGACTCTGCGCAGCAGTCTGAGGGCTCTGCCAGGAGTGGCGATGCTGTTTTCCAGAGAATTGATTAGTCAGTAGGTGGGAGTTTCACACCTGTTGATGTGTAATCTGGAACATAGCCTGTTTGCAGCATAAGTAACCATAGCGATATATCCCAGTAAAAAGTGAACCACCTTTGAAAAACAGAAAAAAGAGTTAAACCTGAAGTCACATGGAGACGGAGCAAAATGAATTTCCGCCCACAACACCTCTTCATTGAATTCAAATTTAGTGGGAAAATGGGCATGTCAGTTTTGTTTCTTAGTAAAAACAGTTAATATGATTGTACCCTGTATATGCAGAGCTCCAGCTGAGCCAACCAGCACACTGTTTATTTGTATTTTATCTTGTCTATGTCATCACGCCGCATGTGACTCAGATTGTCTTTTTTTAATGGCTTCTCATTGCTTTAGTGCCCTCTCAGGTTCTTACAGCTGACCTCTCATCCAGAGAGAAATAATCCTTCATTGATGCATTGGACACTACAAGTTATTTTAATAATCGTCTCATGGGTCTGTCACTAACAGTGACATGTTCATGGAAACAAGTAATGACATGTTTCAGGTGTGAGTCATGGCACCAGAGCTGAACTCTTATTTCAGCTTGTGTTGTAATATGGTGTTGTGCAAAAGTTTCAAGTCAGCCCTCATTTCTTTGTATTTTGATGGAACGATGGGAAATTGGTTCAGTGAAACGTGTGCAGAGATAAATGGTTCCACCTGCAGCTGCTCTGAGGCATGTGGAAGTATCGGGGGGACAGATACTGAACCCTAAATTACCCACGATACATCCATCAGAGTGCAACAAGTGTATGTGAATGTTAGGCAGGGTCTAAGCCACTCTTCCACTGAGTGGTGTGTTTTTATGACAGGCTGTAACAGGCGAGTAACAAAGAGTCTAAAATTATTTAAAGCTGGTTCCTCACTAAGTTTTCTGTTGTGCATAGACACTTGTTACTCTTTGTGTTTGGAGCATTTTCATTCTTGAATGGCTCACAGAGAGCGGGTTTACAAACAAAAAACAGTCTTCCAAAACTGGTCAGAAATAAGGGGCGGTTCAAGACTTCTGCACAGCAGTGTGGTTCACTGTGTTGTGTAATTTGTGAGGTAGTGAAAGTCAAACACATGATGGCTGAGGCTTTGTGTTCTCTTCAGTCTCCTTTGTGGTCTGATCTCAGCGTGGATTAAAATAATGAAAGGCTTTTGTACTGCTCCCTCACTGCTTTATTTTGTTTACACCTGTCACATGATCCAAGCAAATCTTTTTTTCCCTTCTGTGTGAATGGACAAATTTTCTACAGAGAGCAGCTCTAGCTAATGTTAGCTTAGAAAAGATGTCCCACCGTGACAGACTCACACAGAGAGGAACACATGAAATTTTTAAGTAATCGTTTTTTTTCTTTTCAGGCGTTTTTAGAAATGGCGTCAGAAGAAGCCGCTGTTACCATGGTGAACTACTACACCTCAGCCACTCCCTCCATCAGGAGTCAGCCAGTCTACATTCAGTACTCCACCCATCGCGAGCTCAAGACTGACAATATGACCAATCAGGTGAGGAGCAGCAGCTCAGGCCCCACCCATGGTGTCTGTTTATTTGTTTGAAGTTTGATCTGTCATCTGTTTACAAAAAGCAGCGAGATGGTCCTTTAAACAATCAATAATATGTTTGTTTGCTGACAGAGGGCTCAGGCAACGCTGCAGGCCATGAATGCAGGAGCAGTGCACTCTGGGAACATGGCTTCAGGTGGGGAGGGCCGGGGCATAGCTCCAGGTCAGAGTCCCGTCCTGAGAATCATTGTGGAGAATTTATTTTACCCTGTGACTCTGGAGGTCCTCCAGCAGGTCAGGACTGCAGATATCATCAGTGTTATTATTGTTATTATTATTGAAGTTTTTATTATCATGTCCTCTCTAACAGTTCTTGGTGGTATTAATAAAATTTTTCCACAGATCTTTAGTAAGTTTGGCTCCGTGCTGAAGATCATCACGTTCACCAGAAACAACCAGTTTCAGGCTCTCCTGCAGTTCAGCGACACCGTGCATGCTCAGCACGCCAAGGCTGTGAGTCATACACCTACACACACATTCTCACTCCCTCTCTCTCTCACACACACACACACACACACACACACACACACACACACACACACACACACATTTAGAAATCCAGCTCCAGTTCTAGGTCTGAACTGGTGCGGGTCCAGTCAGATCACAGTATGTGTCCTTCTGTCTGTCAGACTCTAGACGGTCAGAACATCTATAATGGCTGCTGCACGCTGAGGATCGACTTCTCCAAACTGAGCGTGCTCAACGTGAAGTACAACAACGACAAGAGTCGGGATTTCACCAGAGCCGACCTGCCAAGCGGAGAGCTAGAGCCCGCCGCCACCTTCGGTAAGAGTAAGGGCCTGTCTCAATATGCATACTTTTGCGTACTTGTGTTCTCGTGTACTCGTGATAAGTCAAGCCGTAAATATTCCCTGATGCCTCCGACGTCTTCGGAGACGTCTGTTACCCACCAGCTCCATAGCAGACTGGGAGGTCGAGGATCACTAGAGCCGGCGAGAACAGCGGATTCCCGGCACATCATTTTCAACCCCCCCCGCGGTCTTTTACTACTCAGGTTAAACATGATATATAGGTCTCTTAGATAACTTTGAAATGTTAATGTTTGGCTTTTTTCAGTGTTTTATTTGTTCCTGAGTAAATCGAGTTGGCTGAGATTAAAGTTAAGCTTCATAACATATTAGTCACAGTTAAATTAAGAGGGGACGGCCGAAAGAACTCTGGACCTGTGACATCATCAAGTACGCTGGTGTTTCAGTTGTACAAATTCATTACAACTCAATAAGCGCACACACCTCGACTGACCAGCAGCTGTCATTTCTATAACTCTATGCAGACCTCAGAGTCATTGTATGGGGGCGGGGCTAGTGAGCTAACCTGTATGTGTGTTTCAGGTGTAGCTTTGCCTCCGTATGGAGCAGCGGCATTCCCACCCACTTTCCACCAACACACAGGTGAGTTGCACATGAACATCACCTTTGACCATTGACATTTACATGTTTTAAGATGCGCTGAGCGTGAATATGGAAACCACTGAAATAAAGTTTTGGTGTTTTCCGTCCTCAGGTCTGTCCATGGCGCCCGTCCCCGGCTCGCTAGTGTCTCATCCTCGCGTCTCGCTGCAGATGGCGCCTCCTGCTGTCCATTCGGTGCTGCTGGTGTCGAACCTGAACCCAGAGGTCAGAGGTCACACATGCTAGCTCACACAGTCACTGGTCGTGTCCAAATTCATGGGCTGCATCCTCCTGAGGACCCGGCCTTCACGGTCTACGTGGGCCGGGTCCTCAGAAG